GGATATGTGACTTTCTGCAAGTTTCTGGTGTATGGTGGTCACTTATTTGCTGTCTTTGTATGATAATTACAATCATTCTGTATTCACTGCTTCCATGATGTGGTCTGCATACTGCAATCCTTAGGCAAATATCATCACGGTTTGCAATGTTGTGCTTTGGCCGCCAGCTTTAATACCTACACATTGTAGTTGAATTATTTTTGTTTCACAACTGACTTCCTGAAGTACGGTGGCCACTGCTTTGCATGGCATTATACAATGTTCATCAAGAATTTCCTGATTGGGTCGCGTGTGTGTGTGTGCTTGCACGTGTGTGTGTGCGTGCCCATGTGTGTGTGCCATGTGCATTTGCGTGTTTGTCACAATGTGTCTGTATGCGGGGTAGCGAGGTGGGGAGGGCTGGAATGTATCAGTGTGCAGTCGCATGGCTACATACAGTGCATCGCGCGCGTGCTCATCATGTTTGTCTTCGGAGCTGGGCCGGGGTAGGGGAGGGAACTGAAAAAGAACTGAAATTACCCATATAAAAACCGCTCTCTGAGCGGTTCTGAAAAACCTCTACTGGTGCGGCCCCGTCGTAAAAGTTAGAAATTAGAACTGGCGCATTGTCCTCCCAAATGTGAACTGATCCACCTGAATCGCGATTGACGGGACCCGAACGCACCAGTAGCACGAGGCCGGGAGGGCACAGGGTCACAGCAATGGGCCGGCACCGTCGCTGATCAAGTAAGTAAGTTACCATACAACACTTACAGTACCCCGAAGCCCACCTTTGCCCGGGCTTTGGCTATGGACCAGCGTCCCCAGCTGCATCCACAGGTAGGAACCTCGTGCTACTGGTGCGTTCGGGTCCCGTCAATCGCGATTCAGGTGGATCAGTTCACATTTGGGAGGACAATGCGCCAGTTCTAATTTCTAACTTTTACGACGGGGCCGCACCAGTAGAGGTTTTTCAGAACCGCTCAGAGAGCGGTTTTTATATGGGTAATGTATGTATGTATGTATGTATAACTCATAATCACAAGGTGATCGTAGAGGCATTAATCAGCGAGAGAATTGTGAATGATGTCTCTGAATCCAACTCTATCGTGTGCTGCATGAGAGAGAGCATGCACGGGAAGACCCGTCCAACTTTTAATGTTAGAAATCCATGATGTCGCGGGCCTTCCTCTCGGTCGAGATCCAGGAGTTGATCCTTGCAGGAAGGGCTTGGAGAAAACGTCATGTCTCGTAACATGGCCAAACCACATCAACTTAAATTTCTTGACTTCGTTCGCTAGCCGCATCCTTGCGACATGTATACCGGTATGAGAAATGTACGATTATCGCAAGGCACACAACGAAAGGGAAAGCGTAGATTCACAGATGATTGTAACAAGAAAACAGTTCTGAACGAATCCTCGCTTTCCCTTTCGTTGTGTGCCTTTCGATAATCGTACAACATTTTACATATACATGTACATGTCGACATAATTATATGAAATGCTTACTGTGCAATTAATTGTCTGTGTAGCTGTGTTTTGTTTGCCAGTATATAAAAAAGAGGCTGTTGTAATTATTTATTATTATTATAGTGGTTAGAGCATCGCTAGCTACAAGCGAGGGTTCCTGGTTCGAGTCCTGGTGGTGACAGTCAATTTTTTCTTCAGACTTTTCCCATTTGTGTCTTTCCCTCAAACTAGTCAAGTAACACGTTAGTTATTATCATTTATTCATAATTTTAATAGGGCAGTCCCCACAGACTCAAGGTCTTCTAATAATTGATCACTACGGTATTTGCAGCAAAGGACTTCAGCCACTTACTTCTGTCTTTGTCTAATCATGATGTACAGACTAGATCTACCATGATCTACATGTTTTATTATTATTATTATTATTATGAAATTTTGATAGGGCAATACCCACAGGCCTAAGGCCTTCTTACAGGGTACCCTAGAAATGAAAGTACTGAATTACGGAATAGGTGCAGTGAAGAGCATAAGCGGACTGCAGCGGGGAGTGCATTCCAACGGTCGGAACCGATGGAAGAAACTGAAAAGAGACGGAAACGAGTTTTAGCTTTTGGTAGAGTGACAGACGAAGATACCTGAGAGCGAGTGCAGGAATTGGTACGAGTAGAAGTAGAACGAAGGCAAAAGCAATCAGTAAGGAGCGGAGTAGTTAACTGATTCAGGACACGAAACACTAATATATAGAGTTTGATAGCGCACAGACAAAGGGAGAATGTGATGGCGTGCATTAATAAGGGGTACATCAGAAAAACGAGGCATACTGAACACAATGCGTAGAGACGGACGAGGCGATCATGAAGAGTTACTGACAAGCAATGAGCAAATGAGTTACTACCATACTCGAGTACTGTCTGAATGGAACAAAATGTAAAATGCACGCTTTGCAGTTACCGTCATGTGATCTCGGACCTTTCTGAACATGGCTAACTTACTTCCAACTTTCCGCTCTAGTTGCCTAACGTGCTCTCCGAAGGAGAGATGTTCGTCGAGTACAATACCAAGGCATCGAATGTGTGCACTAGGGTTGATTGTGACCTCACCCAGCTGTAGTCTGTAGAGCGACGCTAGGGTCCAGGGGCTTGTACTTTACTGTCTTTGACCTGAACACGACAAACTGGGTCTTGGAAGGATTCAGCAGTAAGCCTCTAGCCGCCAAGAACTCCTTCACTTTGACAATGTCTTCCGTCAGCTCCTTGCACAACTGTTTAACGTTCTTGCCAGCTTTGTAAAGGGAGACATCGTCCGCGTACTGTCGAGCCTTGCAGTGCTGGGGTACAGAGGGAAGCTTTCTGACTGGCAGATTGAAGAGAGAGGGCCCCAAGACGGAGCCTTGCGGAACCCCCTGTTGCTACTATATGTCAGGCCTTGCTGTGTCTTGGTGACCACACGTTGCTTCCTGTGGGTAAGGTAGCTACCGAACCACTGCAAGGCAGTACCGCCGACACCGATCTCCAGAAGTTCACTCGGTAGAACTGCATGACTAACTGTGTCGAATGCCTTTGACATGTCTAGAAAGGCAGCTACGACATAATCACCTTTGTCCAAGGAGAGCATCCAGTCGTTGATCACGGGAGTGAGCAAGTCCTCGCAGGAGTGGCCTCTGCGGTAGGCAAATTGCTCAGCAGGTAGGGGTAACAGTGATGGTGGTGCATTATATATAAATTATAGTACATTAGTTGGTCGTGTACAATATGTTCAAGTAGCTTAGACATGTGGGACAGGAGTGATATTGGTCTATAGTTGGATGGGACTGACTTATCTCCACGCTTGTAGATAGGCCGCACATTCGCTAGTTTGTAAGTCGATGGGAAATCGCCAGACGTAAGAGACATGGTAAAATTTGATAGTTTGGCGAAAGATGAGGCGATCTCATCTTTGATGAGCTTGTAGGCCTGGGCGCAGTGGGCGGGGATGTTATCAGGTCCTGTGGCTTTACGACTGTTCATTCTCTGGATATGGAGTTGGACTTGTGGAACAGTGACTGGTGTGAACTGTGTCAGTGAGTATTCCGATACAGGGCCATTGGGAGTGCGTAGTGTACTGCCAGAATGTGATGTATCGTTGACAACGTTTGTAAATGTCTTTGTGATGTCGGCTACTTCGGCAGCAGGTTCCTGGTTGATTTTAATTCTACAAAAATAGATTGTTCATGACACTCCATTGCTCTCTTGAGTGGTTTCGATGATTGATTAGTTGTTGCTGGAAGTATGTAGACCGTTTCTTCCTAGTTAAAAGTTTACATTGTCTTCGTAGAGTTCGGAATTGTTGCAGCAGGTCTGAGCGATCAGGACGTTTTATCATTGCTCGGTGTGCTCGTTTACTCTTGAATACAGTCTGCCGGAGCTCATCGTCTACCCAAGCCAAGGCGATGGAGTATAGCTCTTCTTGGCGTTGACAATCTTTAGAGGTCACACTGGTCAGTACTCATTCAAGGCATCACTGACTGCATCCTGCCAGTGTTCAGTATAACTATCTAGAGACGCCTGTGAATTGTGATGAACTGCGTGTGTCGTCATGTACATGTGTACCTGCCTCAGCTCAGCTCAGTCAACCAAATGCAAAGAAAATACAAAGACAAACAGAAAAAAAGGTCAGAACTGAGAGAGTGATGCTCCGCGCGGACCGCGCCGCTGCGACTGGGCGGCCGCGCCCAGTGCAGTAGTGCTCCATCTTTCACTTGCATCATGATCGTCGTTGATCGATCGTGATGATCAGTGCATAATGTCATGATGACTGATTGATGGCTTCTGTTTTGGCTTCATGCAAGAGCAGCCTAGCCGGTGCTCTTTGCGCACGTGACTATTATTTACATACAACAGACAGCTGTCAGTGCACTGTTCTAGTGTACCAGGTGTACTCGAAGCACTCTGTCACTCTCTGTGCACACATTACATACAGTCATGGACATGTAACGACTTACGTAGCCGCCCGGCGCCCGGCTCTACTCGTACATCCACGTACATCCTGTACTGGCTGTAATTGGCTCACGCGACCAGCGCCTGTAATCAATGCTTATTTTTGCTCTGGTTACTTTTGCGCACGCGCACGAGCGGGCTTGACATACGTACGTACTCCTGATATAGTGATACGGCCATAGGCATAGCGCCTAGGCTATACATCCTGCCTATACTACTAGCGCCTACGTATGTAGCGAGCACGCCTACAGGCTACACTGAGGCTGCAGTCTACACTGACGTGAGAAGGTGCAAGATCAGTCAGACTCAGCAGTGTAGATCTACCATGGTGCACACGTGTACGATACGATCGAGGCTCGATCGACCGCGCTCGAGGCGCTGGCCGGAGAGCCGCAAACCATGCATGACTGAGTCTGTACTGTGTACCAGGTGTACAGCGCGCTAGATAGCGCAGGCCGGCCAGATCGCGTGCTGATCGCGTGCGCGTGGTGATTGACGTTTCCATGGCCACGACTGCAAAATGGCGTGAAAATTTTAGTTGAAAAAGCCGGCGCTCAGCCTGAAATGAATCAGTTTCAGTTTGTAGTTGGTAGCAGATTTTCTTGTCAATTTTCAACACTTTTCTCTTTTGAGTAATGAATGGCTGTATGTTTTGATTGTCACGTTTGGAGGAGTTTGACCCGCACTGCAGTGGGGTCGTGTGGAGTTGAACGGGTTGCTCTAGCAGAGTTTGCCCATGCTCTGCTACAAGCTATGGAGTTGCCCATCGATTCCGTGGTCCTTCGGGGCATGTCCCACCTTCTGTCCAAAGCACCGGAGTCGGCTCGTCAGCTGTTTGAATTGATGGCGGAGCACAACGACTTGGCAGCGTCGCTCGTTGATGTCTGGCTCACCAAGGAGGGCAGCAATGCTCCCTGTAGACCGGTGGCATCGACGAAGGTGAGTAAACAGTCCACTAGCGCTGTAATCGTGTCTTGAACACTCGATAAAATTATTATATCCGAGTTTTGTAATATTTAGTACGGGAAGTTGGGAATTAATTATTTGTATATAATTAAATCTGAATGTGAAATAATAGGACAATATCTGCCGTTCGCGGATCGTACTCGCTTGGCAATGAGCCCTTGGGTAAGGGTTGGTTCACATATCGCCGGTACGCGCCGGGAGTCATCGGGAGTGGGCCTCCTGCAACCTCTCCCGGCGCATCGCGATTATGTGAACCAGTGCAGTCGTAACAAAATCACACGGTAAAATATCGCAAGGGACCGCCGGCAAAGTTGGACAGTGCCCAACTCTTGCGATCTGCCCCGGCGCCGATCCCGTACAAATTTGACCAAAAGTGGTTTGCGAACCGTTCGCGTCGGTGATCGCCGGTGCCGGGAGCCAGACTTTGTGTCAAAATTTTAAACCAAGACTCGTCCTCAATTTTCTTAAATTGAAGCTAAAGATGAGGTCCGTTCGCCATTCTTGTAATCGTTTCAAGGTGGCAAATTAAGTCAGCGTACCAACCCGTCCTCGGATGATCTGCTCGACTGTTGTGCAACTTATGAGACAAATACAATTGAAATAAATAAAAAATACGAAGGATGCATAGACAAGTTCGTGTGACTTCATCAACGTTTGCACACATAATTTGCACACAACCGCTTTACTAGACTGCAATAAAAGGTGTAGAAGTAGTTTCATGATCTCCAGTAAAAGGTAGCACCAAGTGGCCATCACCGAAAGACCTTGAACTACTGAAGAAACAAAGAATTCAGGCTCCAATTGGCAAACCTGTCGTAGCATTTGGGCACATTCTGTACTACTGTATAGCAGGAATTTTTCGGACGGAATTTATTTTCGTACGATTTTGTACACAGCCTCTTTTGTACTAAAATTAATTCCGTTCTAAAATTTGTCCCTGTAAAGGTACGTACACTATACATGCGAACACGTGCATTTAGCATGCAGCACTGTACGAAAATAAAATCCGTGCGAAAGGTCGAAAATTGGCTTTGTCCGAAAATATTTCCGTCCGAAAATTTCCTGCTATACAGTACTTTGTAGTATATTTGGTACTCGAACCGTATGCGCAAGAAAACAAACGATGCCAGCACCGGAGACGAAACATGAGCTCGGGAGCTGGCTCACCGCCGATGTCTTGCGGCGCCGATTTTGCTTATGTGAACCAGCCCTAACCTGTACTTTAGCGCCCCCCCCCCCCCCCCCCCCCCCCCCCAATCATATACCCAGCCAGCAAGGTCACAGGTCCTTACGGAGTGTCACCAAATAAGGCACCCACAGGTACAGGTAGGTGTGTACACATCCACGTGAAGTGTACACTAGTCTTTATTTGGATAGACAGGTACGGTCAACTTCGCTTGTAACGACACTCGGCGGGGCATCAGAAAAGTGTCCTTATTCGCGAAGTGCCGTTATACCCGAAGTCTCATTATATGTATCACAGTTGGATGGGACTTTGCTCTGGGCATGCAAATTCTGTCGGACACTGATGCGTATGCATGTGTGTGCGTGTGTGTCTGTGCATGTTTTGTGTGTCTGTGTATGTTTGTATGTGTGTGTGTGTGTGTGTACTTTTGTCGTGCCTAGTGCGCGTCACAGTCGTCAGCAGGAGCACAGCCGTCGCTGGACGATGAGCGGCCTTCCTCTCTTGCCACTTCATACGCTTCGGCAGGGAGTGGTGGTGGCGTTACGGCGAAGCCGAGCAGCAGAAAGGAGGCTCGGCCCAAGACCAAGCAGGAGCTCTTCCTGCCCGACCTGCACATGCGCCCCGAGACCAAGGGCAGGTCGCCCCCGCAGGACGGGGTACGGTCGCTTGGCAACGCGGACGGCGCAGAGCCAGCGGACGCACCCAGTGCTTTGTTCTCTGTGCCAGCGGCCGTGAAACGGAAGGCGCCGGCGCCAGAAGGCCGCGACGGCGAGCAGAAGCCGACGAGCCGTATCAAAATGGCCCCGCGCGGCATAGCCAGGAGTGGCGGGCGATCTGCCCACCAAGCAGGGCCAACACCGCCGCGCCCGAGCGCCGTTGCCAAGGACGCAAAGGCGCTTGGCAGCCGCGTGCGCCCGCCGCCGACCAATGGAGGCAGTGCCAGAGCGTCGTCTGAGGAGGACGTTGCCGTGACGTTATCTCCTGTCAGTTGCCACGGCTCCAACAACAGTCTCGGCGACGCGTCTCTTCCGGCGAGTCGCACGGCCACTGACGATGCTGGCACAAACAACAACCACCACCGCCGCAATGGCGCTAACGGCAGCGCTAACAACCCTGATCGGCTTGAAGGAGACAGCAGCGACAGCGATGATTACAGTCTGCTGCATTCGTCCACTGACCGCAGTTTCAAAGGTGAGAAGCACAGCGTTATCAAAAGGACATACTGTAGTCTCGCGTATAAAAGCATGACTCGAATAGAAGCATGGTTTGAACCGCGGCTTACACGGCCACAAGCACCTGCTTTTTTACGCGACATTACGGTAAGGACTGTCCACCACTGCAAGTACCTACTATGGCACTGCTCAATGAAATCCAGTCGGGTCACTCAAGTATGCGCCGGGCGTTTCGCAGCCCTAGACCTACACACACTGGCCTGCGAAACGGGGCAAGGCGCAAACTCGAGCGACACGACTGGATTTCATTGAGCTGCATTGTATACACAGTCAGACAGTGCAACAACTAGGCACAAAACCGACAGTGTACTGGGACATTCGACGACCTAACTCGTGTCCGTATGTTCCTCTCTCCTTTCTACAATTATTAGTATTATTGGCTCAACATCCGAGTTTCAAACAGCGTTATTATCTACAGTATTCTTGCCGAAATTTGGTCGCACTGGCCTGGACACATGCAGCAGAGCCTCCCCCTTGTTTGGGCAGCGCAGTGGCGTTGATTTAGCTCGGGGAAATGCCGTTCCAAATTCCACCCTGAGAGTTGAATCCTTTGGGACCCGGGCTGAAGTACAGTGCCGGCAACTGAAATCCGACCCCTGAGTGGTGCGCTCACACCACTGCAAAGGCCCAACACAGGTTTGTAATACTAGGGAAAAGAGACCGCTAGAATGTGAACTCAGGGGGGGGGGGGGGGCTCAGGGGTCGGATTTCATTTGCCAGCACTGTATGATCCCGTAGTAAATGCCACGGCTCGCGTGCGAGACTCGGTCGGACTGAGCTTTCCGCGTCCGCAGGAACGCCACCACCCGCTGCACTACTGAATACTGTATGCATAGGGTGCTTGTTGTTTGTACTGTGCGGATTGCTTCGTTTCAGTGCTCGTTTCTTCTATTTTGTTAGAAATAGTTGAAGTCTCGCGCCAGGGTCACGCGTGCAGGTTTTTTTGCATCCACAGTAGAGAGGTTAAGTTACACGTTTTTTGCCCTTTTTCAAAACGCGGTGCAAATCTCACGTTAGGCGAGACCAAAAAAATAGAGATTCCCGGGCCCTCCCGCACCAAAATCGAGCCAAAGCCAATTTTTTTTGAACAGTTCATACATGTACAGTACTGATCGTGTGAGTAGATTTGTGACGTGGAGTCACACAAACCCGAGCTTGTACGACTCCCAGATGTACAGATCAGGGCCATCGTTGGCCGAACTATAGAAAATTGAACGGGTAAACCGCGTACCTGTTTTCTGTAAAAAACTGAATAAAAATTACCGGAAAATGCTGTAAAAAAAGTTCAACATGGCATGCACACATAATAGTCATGTACATACATGGGAAAAAATAAAAAATAAAATTCGCCCGCCCACACCAATTTCACATGGGTCCTGCCCGGGAATCTCGATTTTATTCCCGTAGCTATGCAGAAGACGTTACTTCAGTAACGTCTGGCGCTAGCCAGGGTCCACACAGCTTTAATTTGGTGTTTGTTTGTGTGTTTGTTTGTGTCACGCCTGGCGCTATCCGTATCTGACGGCAAAAAAGCATAGGATGTTGTAAATTTTTGAATTCTCCTTTTTTTCAGGCATATCCTGGGATTCGAACCCGCACTATCGCCCTACATGCATTCCCCCATACACTTCGCATTCATACCCATTCTTCCAAGTTGCTTCACGTTATTATCTTGCGTTTGAAAGCCCTATTTGAATATTGCGGGCGGCTGCATGTGGCCAGCTGTGTTTGATGGTACGGTACGGGAGACGGTGTCGTATTACCCTCGATCGTACCTGTCCCGTACCTATCCCCTACCGTACCGTGCCATCAAAGACGGCTGGCCACATACAGCATATTCAAATAGGGCTTTCAAATGCAAGATCACAATGTGAAACAACTTGGAAGAATTAGTGTGTATGCGAAGTGTATCGGGGGATGCATGCAGGGCGCGCGATAGTGCAGGTTCGAATCCCAGGTTGTCTTAAAAAAAAAAGGATTTTTTTAAAGAATTTATAACATCCCTATGCTTTTTTTTTGTCTAGGTCATCAAGGCAAAAAAGCATAGCGTAGGGCCCTGAGCTTCCAAGCTCTCTCGTTTTGGTCTCGCCTTGCGTGTAATTTTAAGAGGTCAAGTTACACGTGCGACGTGACGTGAAATTTTGCCTGGCAGGATTCGGGTTTAGTTCGCACAAATGTCAAATCTTCCAACAAACTCGATAAAACTCCGGAAACTCACACAAATTCGGTCGGGATAACCAAGCGAAACTTCCGAAAACCCACGTCATGAACTTACGCACGGGACAGTCAACTCACGTAAAACACGTCAACGTGAGTTTTTCACTTTTTGACTTAAAAGTTCACGGACGTATGAATTTTACGTGAAACTTAACCTCTCTTGTAACGCAATGCACCACCCTGAGTGATGAAGGTGCTGTTTGTTCAAATTGCTCCTTGATGATGTGGGCATGAGTAGATGCATGATTGCATTATTCGTACATAGAAATGTAATTCTGCTGCCACGTGTACTCAGGCAGTGAGCGCCAGTTGGCATTGGTTTGCCGTTTTCAATTAAATTTGCTACTTCGTGTTGTCTGGAACTTTGAAAAAAATAGTCTGGAAAATGTGTTTGATTTCACTGTGCGACCCCTGTCTAAGAATGAACACAGTGTGTGTATCGTATTCACTGGGATTTTAGAAATGGTGTCTCCTCGTTGACTCTTGCTATGTATTCATTTGTTCTTTGTTTTTTTTCTTTCCCTGGCAGGTCGGAAACGGGTCCGTGCGTTCTCGTCGTCCGATGAAGACGACGACTCTGATGCGTTCAGCGACAATGGCCGTGTGATCAGCAATGGACGCGGGATCAGCAGCAACTCGTCGTCTTCGTCGCGGACAGCGCGACCGCCTCGCAAGTGCAAGCCGCCCGATTCTGCGCTGTTCGATGTGAGCTTTCTGCGTGATGGTGCTGCTGCTGATGGTGTGGCAGTGGTGCGGCTACTGCTGCTGCTGCTGGTTTTGGTGGTTGTTCCGTTGCTGCTGCTTGGGCGAAAATTGTATTGCTACGGGAATGTATGTGGTTGGGTGAAGTTTGTGGCATGCAAAGTTACTGCATGATTTTGTTCCACCTATCATTGCAACGAACTGAAAGAAGCCTTGCAACTCGGTGCGAGCCCCGGTCTGTGTCCTGTGGAGTTGTGTGGCTTGTACCGAGTGGCTTCACATCCTTGTCATATGACTGCATTTGTGTAGAAGGTGATCATGGCATGTGTGCAGGGGAACCAGTATGGCCGACTCTGTACGACCCATAGATGCAGGCACGGGTTGAGTGGAGTTGGAACCCACATGGCTGCCGTGTATGGACATATGATAGAGATGTGAAGGCACTCAATACCAGCACGTGTAAATCTTGTCTTTGTCCAGGGTATTACCATCAGCAGCAGCGGCAGTGGCAGCGATGACGAAGCTGACGATCAGGATTCGGCGTTGTCGCGGTCTCACTCGCCGACCAACGGTGACAGTGCTACTGGCTCTGGACCATTGTCGTCGACGAAAGCTGGCGGCATCGGCACGCAAGGGTCTGTCCGACCCAACTCGGCCCACAGACTGCCTACTAAGGTACAGTTTAATAGCGTAGCCCTGTTTTTATGGGTTTCGTGTGACTAGGGTGGTACAGCCTTTTAGGGGTGTTTTGATCGGAGTGAAACAAACTTTGATATTATTTTCTCGTCCCACCACTCGGGAAGAAACCGAGTAAGTGCTGTATTTTCTGGAGTATACGCCGCACCCAGATTTTTTCCGCTCCTTGCATACGGTGCGGTGCGGGCATGCAGTTGTTTCTCTCGTTGATTCAGAGCTCCTCAGTGGAGGTGGTGGATAAAGAATGAAGTCTGGCACAGGGAAATTGGCATGCTGTGCCGTTTACTCATTCTCACGCGCGTCTGTCTTTCTCCTCTGTGTGCGTGTGTCATCCTTCTGGTATTTTTTTCATGCAGCCGCTTGGCCTGGGTTCACGCTCCAGTGGTGGTGGTGGAGGCAGTCACACGCCAGACACTCCGAGCCGTTCGTTTCCGCCCGCCACGACCCCGACCGGCAGCTCTCGCCCCGCGTTCTTCAGCCAGTCCAGTCGGAGCAGCACGTCGGGCTCGACGTCGTCGCGCCCCTCCAGCTCCAGCAGCACGGGTAATCGAAAGTTCGAGGCCATGAAGAAGCAGGCGAAGAAGCTATCGCAGGGACGCGTCGCACGGAAGTAGCGCAATGGTGATACGCAGCTGTGATGTGTCTTGCCGTATGTCTGCACGTCGTCAATGCTGCTTGTGTCGTAGCAGCATCTCCACATACTCAAGCTCAAGCCGCACGGCCAATCGAAAGTTCAAGGCCGTGAAGAAGCTCTCGCAGGTACGCGCACAACGCGACGAAAGTAGAGCAATGATCCGCCGCTGATGTGTCTTGTCGTACGTCTGCATATTGTGTTCGAATGCTGCTTTTGTTGTAGCGGTGTCTCTATACATGGGCCCCTCTTTAACTTACTAGCTCAAGCGACACGCTCAATCGAAAGTTCGACGCCACTAAGAAGCTGTCGCAGGTGCGCGCCACGCGAAACTAGCGTAATGATCCGCAGCTGTGATGTGTCTGTCAGTTCTATGTGTGTGTGCCAGTCTGCACCTCTTGTTGTGGTCAGTGCTGCTCGTGTGATAGCGGTGTCTACAGACGGGAGCTAGCATCTCTGGTTTGTGCCGGCACTTGCGGGCGAATTCCCGCACTGGGACCTCTCTTATTATACTATTCATCATACAAATACACACACGCACACGCACATTTTTCTCCATGTTTCGTCTCCGGTGCTGGCATCGTTTGTTTTCTTGATTTTTAAAGTGGTATTTTTTGTGAAAAACCTCGATTTTATCCTTGTTGCAAGAATGCACCCTTCCCCCGGATTTATTTCTCCTAATCCTCGTAAAAAAAATTATTATGATCGCATCGCAGCAGTTTGCATTTTATTTGCGCTGCTTTCGGAGCTGGACACAATCCTGCGAGCCGTGTCTCAACCAGGAATGTGTGCAATGTAGCACGACATCGGTTACTTACAACTTGCAAGACGAACACCATTAGTGGGCAATGACCCTAAATTCCCCGACGCCTATGCGTCGTACCAAGAGTACATAAACCAGAGTGTGCAACTCGGGATGGTTCCTGTGGGAGCGTAATTCGTGCACTACGTCATTTCTGACGGCATGGTAAGCCACAGGTACGGTGAAAAGTTGCGTAACCAGTCGCGGTGGTGCAGTTCACTGAGTTTGTCCTGATTTCGGTTTTTTGAGACGGATAGCCTGGTGACTTTACTTGTCGGTGGATGTACGCAGCGTACACAGTCACACAAAACACCGAAATCCTGAAACAGGACGTCTAAAATCAAGCAAACTTGTCTGATTTCCGGGCTATGAAACATGAAAATTTGAGCTCTACGCAAGTCGCGGCTTGGCTGATCTCATCAGGGTGACGTAGTGCACGAACTGCGCTGTTTCAGATCTGATATGCACAGTTGCACACTCTGGTTTATGTACTCTTGGTCGTACATGCATGCAAGTCCGGATAGTACTGTCATGGACATGGAAATCCGGTCGCACGTCTAGCGGCCGCATGGCGCTGCTAATGCAGCCGTAGCACGTATTATTATGCGCTGCTGCTGGTCGTATCCGATCAACATGATTGTGCACTGCATACAACGACTTACGTTCTGTACGCGCTGATCTGCTGTCTGAGGGCGCCGGCCCCGGTCAATTGACTGGATTTCCATGTCCGCGACAGTTACGCTTCTACTGCCTTTCAGATCGTCACTTATTTTTCGAAAAGGCAAACCCTTCACTGAGCGAAGAATTGCCAAGAAGAGACACAATGTCATGACACGTCAGTATAAGCCAAAGGGCTTATTTCCTTGACCGTTTTAAGACCTGCGGATTGGAAAAGATCCGGTAAGGCCGCTACATGTAGTTCAGCTTGGGGCAAGCTGAATAAACCCGCCATACCGTACACGCGTGCCCTAAAATGACGAGGTGACAGTTTAAGGCGGCCTTTAGCCCGAGATATGAAAACGCCCCCTGCATCATCATGAAATATGACACCATTCACTTCCCTGGCTACTGGGGCGTAGTGTTCCGCGCGCGCCACAGGCCTAGAATTGCCTAGAAAAGTTGTTGAATTCTAAACCTGACAACAGCGGTTCTGAAGACCAAGCAAGCAAGCAGACAAGAAATGTTTGATAGATCAGTGCATACGGGCAACCGGCAGCAGTATTCAGAACAGCGGTTCTGAAGACCAAGCAAGCAGACAAGAAATGTTTGATAGATCAGTGCATACGGGCAACCGGCAGTAGTATTCAGAACAGCGGTTCTGAAGACCAAGCAAGCAAGTTGACAAGAAATGTTTGATAGATCAGTGCATACGGGCAACCGGCAGTAGCATACAATAATCATGTAGTCGCACCATGTACCAGGAAGTCGTCAAATACCAGCAAAACGGTAACGAATACTGCATGCACTACTCCCTGGCAGCCACAGACAGTACGTGAACCATAATTATACGTATTATGATAAGACGTGCCAGCAGAGTCAGTCCGCTCAGACCAGGGAGTAGTAAAATACCTACTCCCTGGCCCGGACTTTGTCAGGCAGGGCATGATTGTGCAGCAGTATGAGTGCTGCAACGGAGGTCCATTCTGTACTTCACACCGCTTGCTACGTCTGTAGCAATCGAGACACGCCGTCCTGCGTCCAATGGGCGAACAGCTGATCATGATAACACGCGCGTGTGTTTCCGTAACCGAGTACCCATTCTTCTTCTGCTCTGCAGCGATGACCCTGCCTGGCTAGTCAACGGCCTGCCAAACCGATGGCATTGATCCGTTCCACGGTTAGAGTGCATAATGCATGTGGCTAGTCACGACTGACCCGCGCCCCGCTTGCACAGCCTCCGAGGCGAGGCTGTCCAGGGCATACCTACGTTCAATGCGGCAGTCACACCGTGCGCACGCTGTCCACCCATGCCTGCCCAACTTGATACTCAAGTCATCTTGCGGTGCTACTAGCATGGCCGAGTACACGGCTGGGGGCTTTCAGGGGCACACTGCTGTAAATGAGGTGTTGTTTTTCTGTGTGGTGACATTCTCCAAACTGTCTTCATCTAGTCGCGTGTACATAATATATGTGTGATATGAGCCTGTGCGATGTTGTAGTCGACGGTCCTTTCGTCAGTCTTCTGGTCAACGCACGGTAGAGCAGGTACAAGACGTACTATCGGTGTCAGCTGCCATGGTTATTCACTGTCCGAGTTCAGGAAGTCCTCGGCAAATCGCTGCGCTAGCAGGACTGAGTGTATGGCTGGGCTTGGAGGGGGGGGGGGGGGGGGGGGTCAGGGCGAACCGCCAGGTAGAGGAGGTACACGACTGACTAGCGGCGCCAGCTGCCATGGTTACTCGCTGTCCGAGTTCAGGAAATCGTCGGCCAGCCGCTGCCGAGTCTTCTTGTCGGGCACGGGCAGGTAGGGCATGTGGGTGAAGCCGTTGATACCCCAGCGCTTGTAGTCGCTCTCCTGATAGTCCACACTCACCACAGTTGAGATGGTGTAGAATGCTGAGAGGGCAAGAACATACGTATACAATAACAACAGCAGCAGCAATGGCAACAACAACAACATCTCTTATTGGCGATGGTGCAATCGTGAGAATAAAGAATTAAAAAAAACACAAAAAAAACAACAACGACAACTAACTTACAACAACGACGACGACGACAACAGCAACAACGAAGACGACGACAGCAGCAGCAACAACAGGCTCAACAGCAATTTTATATTTTATTTCCGGAGCAAGTGCAGTCCTTGTAGCGCCATAGAGATGTGGTTTAGGCGTTGCCATGGCTACACAGTAGCAAATGCTGGTTTTTATACATCGTGTAGTTAACGTTACTCAGCGTTTTTTGCAACAATAATAATGGTTACACAGTACATAGACCATTGCTTTGACCGAGCGGTTGTGGGCTTGCCTGCGAATCACAAGGCCCCGACCCGCACTGGGAGCAGGGAGCGTGTACTGTGCTAACGAATGCGGTGATGTATGCGTGAACCACTTTACATGCAATGAACTGTGCCAACACCCACGGTCAACTGGGTGCTCACTACTCGGAGCGAGGGTAACATGGATGCAGCTAACGAGGTTCGCCCCCCTTGTCGGGCATTGGTTGTGAGAGTTACCACCTCACCCTTGCCGTTCGGCGCTGCATCACAGGCATGTTGGTGGCCTGGCACAAGCGAAACTTCCTAAGCTGGTTGTGTTTTTCAACACAATTGTATGGCCGGTAGTAACGCGGACGTGCGCACTTTACTTTTTTATTTATTTATTTTTTGCACAGCACAGAGCACTGCATTAGGGGTTTAAGCACTGCACAGCTGGGTTACCTACCTTTGAGCAGATTCGGCTGCTTGTGGAACATCCAATACCGGTAATCTGCAAGAAAACGACGACGACAGCAGCAGCAACAAATCTGAATGAATGAAAGCTATCATGGCCTAAACAACAACAACAACAACAACAGTGCCTTAATGCGACACGACGTTGCTGATCAAGTTAACGGCCATGCAAGCAGCGGACGCCACTGGACAAGGAGTCCACCAGTAGTGTACACAGCGATCACATGAGTTTTTAAGGTCCCCGAGCGTTCGCCTTTGGCTTAGCCCGGTTTGAATGTACTCTGCTGTAGTGCTACAGTTGAAATCCGACCCACGTGCCGAAAGCAGCGCCAAGACACACGCGGCCCAGCCCTCGGGCGCTAGGTTTTTGGATCGTGCACGATGCAATTGGAAACGAAAACGCGGCGCTGCTTTTGAGTTCTGCCTGGCGGGTCGGATTTCTTTGAACATGACTATCGTACGTACTGTAAATCTGGAAAGTCCAGCGAGTCACAAAGTCGAACGTTTTAACGACCAATTGTTTTTCGCTATTTGAAGCCACAGTTAATTGGGAACTCGTTGCCTGCACGAGGAAAACATGGACGCAGTGAATGGGATTTTCGGTCTTTGACCACTTGCTGGTGAGCTGATCTACTCACCTCCCACCGCTTTAGGAGCTGCATCTGCGCCTTGATCCTTGAGGGTGGTGGCGTCATCGGACGCGGAAAACCCGGCTTCCAGCCGAGTCCCACGCGAACCGTGAAAAAAGAAGAAGAAACGTCATCGCGAACCCGGTTTGAGATGTCTGTGTAAAGATGTGCATACAGATGGGTGGCCAGGCAGCCATTGTTAAACTTTCTGCACGTTATCATGCCAAGATTACAAAAAAACGTTAAACGTTTTGGTCGTTTAATAAACTTTTCCGGATTTACAGTACTGAACAGCCGAATGGTACCGTTCACACAATTTTACACGACTATAGTGTTGCAATAAGAAACTTGGATGTTCAGCCAATAACCATGATAAATAGAGAAAGGAAAGACCGCTTTGTCAGGTATCTTACTGGTCTCGTCATCGTCCAGTAGCAATCGACATTCTCTGTTCCCGTGGGACTTCAGCTTGTACTCATTTCTGTTGCGCTTACCTTCCCCTTTTCGATCTATCTCTCGTTAACCTAGAACCTTCAGAGTTGGACGGCTGTTGGTTAGCGCTTCGGAGATGTGCTGGAGTGTTGGTCGTGTGCTGGTCAACGGGGCGAATGTCTCAGTATGCTGTCAGTTTAGTGCCTAGTTAGTATACTTTCTGACTGTATCCAGAATCAATTATGTTCCCTTCCTTTCTCTACTGACTCGGATGGAGAGCCAAGGATAAATTTATAGAAAAGAAAGAGGACCAAGGAACTACACGTTACGCTGTAATGTCCACTAACAGTAAGACCACTAATGCAATGCTGTCGCATGAGCTGATCGTTTAGTAACTGGTGGTGTTAGTGGACACTATAGCTTGACTTGTAGTTCCTTAATCAAGTTTTTCTTTTATTCAATTTGAAACTCGGATGTTGAGCCAAAAATAAATGTGGAAGAGAAAAGGACCATGGCCAGCAATCGAGGACATCTGAGAGTTGTAATTTTTGTACTCCTCCGAGGTGTGATTTTTGGCGTGCTGGGCCAAGCACAAGGAAGCTATCTGCAAAAAAACTGCAGAAAATGGTTGTTGTTTGATCCTTTGGTGTAATCTTTGTTTCTAGTCGAAGCTAGTTGCTGTTTGGAGCAGAAACGCTGAAATTGACTATTTTCTGCATGTACTCATTCATGTACTCATGTACTCAGTCATGCAGTCTCACTCGTATTTTAGCTCTTTTTCTGGAATGGATGCTGCTCTGCGCCCCTTGGTGAACATTTCCTGCGCTCGTGGAGCAGCTGAAAAGGACCACTGGTATGTCTGGCTCCTGGTTTGAAAGTGGAGAGTCGACTTTTGTGCCTTGAAAAAGGAGTAGAGAGCGATAAAGGTACGTCTGTGGCTTATTTTTGAGTGCTCCTCGCACATTTTTGATCATGATAGAAATTCTCAGACCAAAGTCAGACCAAAGTCAGCGCGATGATGACCGTGCAGTTTTCTTGTGGATTTTTTAGTTGTTTCATCTCGTATCTATGTCAGTATCGTGATGGTGAAGTGGAGAGGGTGATTTTCTTCCTCTAGGCTTCGTTCGGCCGACTTTGCTTCGTCCTCGTTGAAAAGTGATCCTGAAAAAAAGATCGATTCGCAAAATTATGTTGATTTTCAATGTACGTGATGACATGCGATTGCTGGCTATGATATGGATACGAGTTAAGAGTAACTCTCCATCAATGTAACATGATACTATGTCAGGACGTCGAATGTTTCAGTACTCTGTCAGTTTTGTGCCTAGTTATTGCACTTTCTGACTGTATATAGTATCATGTTACAGTGATGGAGAGTTACTCTTAACTCGTATCCATATGTCCTTTTCTCTTCCACATTTATTCAATTTATTATTATTTAATTTAAAATTTATTATATATTAACTGGTTTGAGGGAAAGAGACAAACGGGAAAAGTCTGAAGAAATTATTATATATTATTATTTTAAATAATTTAATTTAATTTGTCCTTTCCCTATGCCTATGGACTACAGTTTTAGGTGCTGCAGTGAACGTCTCAACTCACAAGTGCTCTGGCGTACTCGGTTCACCCACAGTCCGCCCACAGTCGCACTCCATCCACCGCTGATCATGAGTATGTATTTGACGATGTTCATTCCAGTGTCCGTCAGTCGCACTCCCTTGAACGGCGGCATCATTGGAGTTCGCACTGGAGTCCACCTGAGTCTGAGGAGAGCCAGGCGCGCACAGAGCTGTACTGCTACCCGCCAACAGCAAGCGCAGAATACTAGAAGCAGCAGCAGCAGCTAGTGACGTTGTTCTCGTTTCTCTCCGTCCTCTGCTCCCGTCGCAGTCTAGTCACGGTGGTCCGCCGATGTTGGCTCACCTGATCTGAGCTAGCTGGTTGCGGTCCTGGCCGAAGTCGAAATGCCGTGATCGTTGACCGACCAAATAAAAGGTTTCTTCAAAATGAACACGAGCAGTAGCAAACTCCAAAGCCAAGGTAAAGAGGCAAAATACTACGTCTACCTTGCGGCTTGCGATCCTTCTCAATTCTTGTCAATCATCTGATACGCGTATACGTATGATCGTAGAAGAAGTCTTGCTGGAAAAAATGAGCTGTGCAAAAAAACCCTTTTTATAGCGGCTATAGGCTAGTATAGCGCTATTAAAGGGGAAGTATACCCTAAAATCAAATTTTCACCAGTTGTAGTCTTCTGGGCGCTGAGTCGAATGGTCTTGGTCCGAGGAAGCTGCGACGCTCCCTTCCTACTTGAATCCCAATCGAACTCGCGCACTTCCACCGAAACTGGGTGACTGCGCCCTACTAGATGGGGATTTGTATGCAAAATGTCACTAAAAGCGCCATTTCGTTCTTATAAAAGCACGGATGACCGCGATTGGCCCATATGTTGTAGTCTTTTGGACGCTGAGTCGACTGGTTTTGGTCCGAAAAGGCTGCGATGCAGCGTTCCTCCTTTATTCCCAATCGAACATGGTTGAACAAGCGGTCACGTGCTCCTGGGTGCCCAAATCACCTGGTCACCGCGCCAGCAGGTGACAACTTTCACACCAAGGTTCAACTCGAGTTCAACTCGAGTGACAGGACTGCACCCAAAAAAGGTCAAACAGGCTAGTAAGTTGTACCCTGCAGGCACGGTGACCAGCTGACTGGTGTACGCAGGAGCACGTGACCGCCTGTTCAACCATGTTCGATTGGGAATACAGGAGGAACGCTGCATCGCAGCCTTTTCGGACCAAAACCAGTCGACTCAGCGTCCAAAAGACTACAACATATGGGCCAATCGCGGTCATCCGTGCTTTTATAAGAACGAAATGGCGCTTTTAGTGACATTTTGCATACAAATCCCCATCTAGTAGGGCGCAGTCACCCAGTTTCGGTGGAAGTGCGCGAGTTCGATTGGGATTCAAGTAGGATGGGAGCGTCGCAGCTTCCTCGGACCAAGACCATTTGACTCAGCACCCAGAAGACTACAACTGGTGAAAATTTGATTTTAGGGTATACTTCCCCTTTAAAGGGGAAGTTAAGGCAAAAATTAAAATTTCACCAGTTGTAGTCTTCGGGGTGCTGAGTCGAATGGTCTTGGTCCGAGGAAGCTGAGACGCTCCCTTCCTACTTGAATCCCAATCGAACTCGCGCACTTCCACCGAAACTGGGTGACTGCGCCCTACGAGATGGGGATTTGTATGCAAAATGTCACTAAGGCCAAGTAAAAAAAAAAGCTAGATGATCGTCCCCGTCCGCCCCAGTTTTTGTCAGCGCCCCAAGAAATATTTTATTTTTTAAATCGTGAGTTTTTGCCGAAATCGTTGGTTTTTTACCGATCGCGGATGCAGGAAACATGTGCACGCTTTGTTTAAAGGGGAAGTATACCCTAAAATCAAATTTTCACCAGTTGTAGTCTTCGGGGTGCTGAGTCGAATGGTCTTGGTCCGAGGAAGCTGAGACGCTCCCTTCCTACTTGAATCCCAATCGAACTCGCGCACTTCCACCGAAACTGGGTGACTGCGCCCTACTAGATGGGGATTTGTATGCAAAATGTCACTAAAAGCGCCATTTCGTTCTTATAAAAGCACGCATGACCGCGATTGGCCCATATGTTGTAGTCTTTTGGACGCTGAGTCGACTGGTTTTGGTCCGAAAAGGCTGCGATGCAGCGTTCCTCCTTTATTCCCAATCGAACATGGTTGAACAAGCGGTCACGTGCTCCTGCGTACACCAGTCACCTGGTCACCGTGCCTGCAGGGTACAACTTACTAGCCTGTTTGACCTTTTTTGGGTGCAGTCCTGTCACTCGAGTTGAACCTTGGTGTGAAAGTTGTCGCCTGCTGGCGCGGTGACCAGGTGATTTGGGCAACCAGGACCACGTGACCGCTTCTTCAACCATGTTCGATTGGGAATAAAGGAGGAACGCTGCATCGCAGCCTTTTCGGACCAAAACCAGTCGACTCAGCGTCCAAAAGACTACAACATATGAGCCAATCGCGGTCATCCGTGCTTTTATAAGAACGAAATGGCGCTTTTAGTGACATTTTGCATACAAATCCCCATCTAGTAGGGCGCAGTCACCCAGTTTCGGTGGAAGTGCGCGAGTTCGATTGGGATTCAAGTAGGAAGGGAGCGTCGCAGCTTCCTCGGACCAAGACCATTCGACTCAGCACCCCGAAGACTACAACTGGTGAAAATTTGATTTTAGGGTATACTTCCCCTTTAATACTTTCTTTACTATATGGACCACATACTACTACTCAGTACTAGTATATCACAACGTCAGTATCGATCTGCTGAAGAAAGAAAAAGAAAAAAAGAAAAAAAAAGAAAAAAAGAGAAAAAAAACCTTGATGTTGTTGTGTACACTGTGTGCATGAGAGGGTAAAAAGTAAAAAAATAAAAATAAAATCCTCCCGCCCTCCCCGATTTTTCCAAAAAAAAGGACGATCATCTAGTAATTTTTTTTACTCGGCCTAAAAGCGCCATTTCGTTCTTATAAAAGCACGGATGACCGCGATTGGCTCATATGTTGTAGTCTTTTGGACGCTGAGTCGACTGGTTTTGGTCCGAAAAGGCTGCGATGCAGCGTTCCTCCTTTATTCCCAATCGAACATGGCTGAACAAGCGGTCACGTGCTCCTGGGTGCCCAAATCACCTGGTCACCACGCCAGCAGGCGACAAATTTCACACCAAGGTTCAACTCGAGTGACAGGAGTGCATCCAAAAAAGGTCAAACAGGCTAGTAAGTTGTACCCTGCAGGCACGGTGACCAGGTGACTGGTGTACGCAGGAGCACGTGACCGCTTGTTCAACCATGTTCGATTGGGAATAAAGGAGGAACGCTACATCGCAGCCTTTTCGGACCAAAACCAGTCGACTCAGCGTCCAAAAGACTACAACATATGGGCCAATCGCGGTCATCCGTGCTTTTATAAGAACGAAATGGCGCTTTTAGTGACATTTTGCATACAAATCCCCATCTCGTAGGGCGCAGTCACCCAGTTTCGGTGGAAGTGCGCGAGTTCGATTGGGATTCAAGTAGGAAGGGAGCGTCTCAGCTTCCTCGGACCAAGACCATTCGACTCAGCACCCCGAAGACTACAACTGGTGAAATTTTAATTTTTGCCTTAACTTCCCCTTTAAATACTACGTACAGTGTAGTATACATGTACCCTGTCAAAAGGCCTTAGGCCTGTGGGGATTGCCCTATCAAAAATTTAATAATAATAATAATAATAATAATGTACTGTACTTGACGCGTGCGTCAAGTGCGCATGCGGCGCACATGCGCATAATATGCGCCCATATAATAATTATATCGACTGTCAAGCCAGCCACGAGCATTCGGCGTGACACATGTCATATATAGACATGTTTCACGCCGAATGCTCGTGGCTGGCTTGACCATGTTGACAGTCGACTACTATACTAGCGCATTATAGGGCTTGAAAGTGATGACGTCAAAAACGGCCTGGGAGTAGTAAATTGACATCAGATTTCTATTTTGGATCCACTATTATTATTATTATTATAGACAACACCTCATGGCATGAGAAGAAAATCAGCCAGTACGGGAGATGTGGGTGTTAACCAACCATGGTGAATAAAAGAAGAAAAGTAATGGTCAAGACGGAGAAGCATGGGAGGGACAGGTGATGGTGAATCTAGTGAGCAGATTTAAATGCGTCCAGGGTACTGGCATTGCGCGTAGTAGCGGGCAGCGCAAGCCAAGCAGAGTAAGCAACAAAGAGTGGAGAGCGTACAAGGGAGGACGTTTTAGCCAAGGGGAGGGCAACAGAGCATCTTGTCTGGGAGCCATCTGTGATTCGGAACCAGTTATACACGTTAAGATGAGGAGGATGTAGAGCTAGTTTAAATTTGTGAGCAAAAGTGCAAATTAATTTTTGACGGTGGGTCGACAGTGGGCAAGCATTTGCAAGGACATACAGGGAAGCAGAAGAGTAGAGAGGGGGTAGACTAAACAGGATACGAAGAAGTTTTCTATGGTGGATTTCGAGATGCTCAGCGAGAACCGAGGACAAGCCACACCAGCTAACAGCAGCGTACATGAAAAGAGGCAGGATGTACAGTTTGTAAAACAAAATTTTACATTTGAAAGGAAGATGGAAACAATGGGGACGTATAACACCTAGGGCAGAGCTTGAACGGCTGCAAAGAGCATCAATATGGAAAGACCAAGAGAGACGATCATCAAGCATTATTCCCAGGTGTTTATGGTTGGAAACAACCTTTATGGGTTCTGGGAAATCAGGATGGTGTAAAAGTGACATGGATGAGATTGGGGGAAGGAACATTATTTCGGTTTTAGTCAGGTTGGGTCTAAGTCGCCATGTTTGCATCCAGCGTAGGACACTGCATATCTGAGCCGACACTCGAGGTACAAGAGCCGCTGGGGACGAGGATGCTGACAGTAGGGTTGTATCATCAGCAAATAACGAGACACCTGGGTCTATAGAGGGTAAATCATTTACGTATGCTACGAACAAAAGAGGTCCAAGTATGGAGCCTTGGGGAACTCCAGAAGACACTGGTAGAGGATCAGAGTTGATGGAGAGGGCAGAAACAAACTGTGATCGGCTACTCAGATAGGACTCCAGCCAGGACAGAGCAGGGCCAGACACACCAAAGACAATATGTAGCTTGGCAAGGAGGCCACGATGCCAGACAGTATCAAAGGCCTTTGCCAAGTCAAAGAAACAGAGAGCAATATGGTGTCGAGCATCACGAAGGGTGGCAATGTCTTGTACTAGACGAGCTAGTTGGTCAGAGGTTGAGTCGTTGCGCCGAAAGCCAGATTGGGAAGGGCTAAGGCATGGTGAAATGTGGCAATACAACTGGTCGTAAAATACCTTTTCACATACTTTTGAAAGGGAGCAGAGAAGAGATATTGGACGATAGTTTGAGGCTTGTGATCGGGAGCCTTTACACTTGTAGATGGGCGTGACCTTAGCGATCTTCCAACGATCAGGAAATACGCCGGAGGAGTAGGAAAGGTTGAATATAAGGCACAGTGGGTACGCCAGAGATGGAGCCAGAACTTTGAGAACTTCATTTGGTAGGGCATCAGGACCAGGGCTTTTGTTGCTTTTTAGTCTTTTTAGGTAGCTGCGAACAGATGATGTGGTGGTATGTATAGAGCGCAGATCAGAAGACACAGTCGCAGAACGCTGCAGAGGTGGTATTGGAGAGCAATGGTCGTCTGGAATACCAGCTGATGTGAATTGCGTATTGAGAGTATTAGCTATAGACTTGGGGTCAGTCACCATCGAACCATTGGAAGCTAATAACGGTGGTATGTCTTGACGTGTACTAGTTGTCCTTTGAGTGCGAACAAAGGTATACAGGTTAGGCCTGGAAGAGGGGTGAGATAGGGTGGTAGTGAGCGAACGTAAATATGCTCGATACTTAGAACGTGACAATGACTTCACCAGATTGCGCTGTTTTTTGTATAAAGAAATATTAGCATAGGTGGAGTACTTCTTACTTAAGCTATAGTAGTCGTATTTGAGTTTAATTGCACCTTGGAGATCTTTGTCGAGCCAAGGGATCTTGGGGTTACGGCTGGACTGACGAGGGTGGTGGCTGCCATGTTTGGGTGTAGCGGGTCTTGCTCCGTATTGTGGCACATAGAAGGAGAGCACGTCATCAAGAACTGTGGTGAACTTCTCCACAGCTTCATCAACAGTAGTGGAGGTGAATAAAAGATGCCAGTCACAGGCAAAAAGTGCAGAGTTGATGATTGACCAAGTGGAGGGTGTAACCTTGCGGAAGGCATGTCGCGGAGGGGTAGGAGTCTGAGAGCAGTTGTAAGAGGTGTTAGCAGTGGCAATGTTGTAGGCTAGCGTTGTAATGACTTGCAAATGATCCGATGCAGCAAGCGGGGCAGCATCGTCAACAGAGCGTACAGAGAGGGGGCGGTTCGTAGCAAGCAAGTCCAGACAGGACAGTCTTCCATTCGGAGCGACACGGGTGGGGAAATTGACAAGCTGCTGGAGGCCAAAGCTAGAGAACACGTGTGATAGCTCCGTACCAGCACGCGATGTGGTGTCACCACTCCACCAGTCAGAATTGTGGGCATTGTAGTCACCGGTAAGAAAAACATCAAATAAAGAGAGGTCCAAGGAACACAGCGTGTCGGTAAGTATGTCGCAAAAGGAGGTGATATCAAGAAGGGATTGTGAAGGGGGGCGGTAATGACAGCAAATGAGTAGCGGATTGGCCCGGAGACCTGCCGGTGCACCAAGCTCAAGCCATAAGGCCTCGCTTTGGGGAGAATCAAGGTCATGGCGACGGGTGCAATGTGGAAATGTCCCATCACGTATGAGAATGGCCACGCCACCATAGCCACGTAGGTTTGATCTCAGGTTCTTATGTGTAGATCTGTCTTTACGGAAGCATGTGTAGCCTGGAACACTGAATAAAAGTGACGGGCTTAGCCAGGTTTCTGTTAAACATATTATGGTGGGCTTGTTGGCATGACATATTGCGTACAATTCCGGAAGTTTGTTTGTTACAGAGCGACAGTTGATAGTTACAATGTTAATGGAATGTGCGTGGTCCGGGAAAAACGGGAAAGCATGAGCGCTCAACGGGGTGAAGCCCGACGTTAGTTTGTGGTAGGGGGCGTCGTGGAGCTGCTGTTGATTAGGAGTTTTAGTAGTTTGTCGTCCAGAATCAGGAAGGAATGGTGGTGCAAGTGGAATATGACCACTAGATATAGAAGAATATGTAACGCAATGAGGGGAAGGGTGTGATGAACTTGCGTGGGGCACAAAGGGTTGGGCAAGAGGATTTAGCTGTTGGCTAGGTGACGGAGGACCCATCACTTGCTAGCGGAGTCGGCATAGCGCCATTTGCGGACGGTGTGCGCAATGGTGTCGGGCCAGAATTCCTTGTCAAGCAGCGTTTGCTCAAACTCTTCCGCGACAGAAACGCGTGCATAGCAGGTACCAAAGTATTGGGTTTCGGCAATTGTGCATGCGTATACATCAACGCCCCTATCAGCGCACCAGGTGACAATTGACTGTGCCTTACTTCCAGGGCTAACATTCCCGACAAAGAAGGCACATCGCTTGGGAAGATGTGTGCCAGTGAGTGTGTTGGGGTTGGGGTTTTCTGTGGCCATTTTTCTGTAGACAGACACAACTTTGGATTTTGTTGCCCGGGCAATGGGATCGCTGTGGGCCGCTGATTTATTGCTCCTTCGCCGCTGTTCTTGCCAGTTGTTCTGATGGGGATCGCCTTCTGTGCTCCCAGCAGCACCCTGAGTACATGTGGGCTGTACTGGTGCACCACCGGCGCCTGCTGTTGTAAGTGCGCCCCCAGTTGTTGCATTTCTACCAGTGTGTACGGGTGTGTTCCTGCGTTCCATGTGGTTGGTGTTAGGTACGGTGGCCCTGCTAGTGCTAGTTGACCTGCTGTGTAGAGTGCGTGCATCCTCTTCTGGCTGTGTGCTATTCGTACTCACTGTACGAGTACAACGGGATTGCATGTCTGGAGTGTCGCAGTGTACGGGCTTGGATGAACCATTGTACTGCTGCTGGTGAAGCTGTTGCACTTCCCCCTTCAGCTCCGAAATTTCCAGCTTCAAGGACAAAATTATGCTATCCCTGTCCTCCCTCATGGAGGCAATCTCCCCCGCCAAGGCCTGGATAGTGTTAGCAAGGCTATCTAGCTTAGAGTCATTAATCCACGACGTACCGGTGTCAGTGACGGGCTTCCCTCCAACGCCGTGCTTCCGCAGTGCCTGCACCAGCTCTGGCCGGGCGAGGCTCGAAGGGGAGTCCAGGGACTTGCGTTCAGCGATGGCGATTAGTTCCTGGTACCCGATCAGGGCAAGATCAAGGTTCTGGTCCAGGGACATACTTAGTTTCAGCAAGGGCAAAGGTAGAAGGGTAAAACTGCTGCGGGGGGCTCCCGGAAAGCTGTTCCGAGGAGCACCAAAAACGTCAACCACCCCCTGAGATTCAAAAAACTTTACTAAGGTGTGACTTTGCTATTGCCTCAGTATGTAGGTGCATAGCAACCCACTCATGTCGTATGCAGGTGTGACTTTTACTTCGCCACCAGTTGTAACCCCGCCCCCAGTAGCCAAATCAGTCAGTTTCACCAAGAGTACGGGGGGTTATGTACTCTTGGTTTCACTGGCAACATCACCTTGCTGTGAGTGAGACCGCTTGAAATGTGCTTGGATCCATACAAAAACTGGATCCAGGTGGATCCAGTTTTCGAATTTTTCAAATTGTTGCTATGCCATTGCTATGGAGTGACGTAGCACTTTCAAGCGATAGCGCATCATGCATGACTGACTGTACCAAGAGTACATAACCCGTTATGTACTAGTACTAGTAGTCGTACTCTTGGTACCTGGCCTGGCCTGGCTGGTACCGGTAGTCGATCGACTAGCTCGAGACTATACAGTATACTAGATCAGACTGTCAAGCCAGCCACGAGCATTCGGCGTGACACAGGTCTATGGGCGCATATTATGCGCATGTGCGCCGCATGCGCACTTGGCGTCACATGCATAATTATCATATCGCCGGCCATGGCGATGGGACTGGGACTTCCCCTGTCTAGGCACCACACGTGACGTGCACGTCGTTTCTACAGAATCTACGTAGATTTACGTACACAGCTAGCTGTACGCTGTACATGTACGGAGAGAGTTCGTACCACGCACGATCGACGGCCTTGGCAACACCACCGCCGTACCTAGTACCTCTGCCGGGCCCTGCCTTTGTTTGAACAGCGTTTGAACAAGATCTCGCGATCGATCACACCCCAGTTCAACTCTTGCAGTTTTGATTATTTTTTGTTCTCTGTGGGGCTTGTGTAAACGAGTCAGGAAAGGTCGACTTCTCCTTTTGAGCAGTCCTAAAATAGACTAGGCAATGGCTACCAGGCCGCTTCGCTTTGCAGATCGCGTTGTCATTGTGACTGGAGGTTCGAAGGGCATTGGAGAAGGCGTAGTCAGAGTGTTCAGTAAGTCAATTATAAAATTTGCGATTGGTGACTTGCCTGTTTACCTCCCCGATGAGATTTGGTGAGCACAAGTCGACACCCCCCTCCCCTCAGCATACTATTACTAGCAGCCTACAAAATTGGCTCATCCCGCGTTTGAAATACCATGACATTCAAAAAAAAATGAAAATGTTTCTTGTCAAGCCGCGTTACCGTGCCAGGTCTTGTTTTTGTGAACACAGGTGTGTGCAGCGTAGGCTGCGAGCGACAGTACGAGTCTCGTAGAGACTCGAGGATGGCCTGCAGAAGAAACTAATTAATTTGTTTTATTTCCTCCCTTTTCAACTCCCTCAACGAAATAAATGTTCATTTTCTGGCGTTTTCTTTTTTTCGTAGAGACTCGATCGAGGATGGTCTGCAGAAGAAACTAATTAATTTGTTTTATTTCCTCCCTTTTCACCTCCCTCAACGAAATAAATGTTCATTTTCTGGCGTTTTCTTTTTTTCACCCCCTCCCCCGACTGAATACTGTCTTTGTACTAGTACAGTTGAACATCGATTATCCGACCACCTCTGGGCAGACAACTGTCAGGCGGTGTTCAGATAAGGCAAATGTTCCAGATGAGAAAAAACTGTCACTCACACACTTTCAGTGGTTATTACTAGCCGCACGACCTTTTTACTTTTCAAAATTTTCGTATTTTTTGAATGGCTCACTACATGCACAGTGCGTACTCTACGGCACGTGCGCCCAAAAAAACTGTTACGGATAATCGAATGGTCGGATAGTCGATGTGCGGATAATCGATGTTCAACTGTAGTGTAAACGCTGAAGTGCGATGTTCTCCCTGGCCATGGGTTTTATTATGATTTTCATTGCAGTGAATCTTCAATCAACATACCTCCGCTAGGGGACGTAACCATTTCAAAAATCCATACAGCTTCGGAGGCACTCAATGGTGATGTTCTGCTCTGCGTTACGGGAATGCAGCACGGAGAAATTAACGGAAGAATCCCTTGATCAATCTTCGCGCTCCTGTAAAGTAGGAGAAACCTGTTCTGCTCTACGTCCGCGCAAGGAAATCACGTGGAATGTGTACTGGGAATTTCCCGTTCCAAATTTGACTGCATCCTCCCTGATTCGAATGATACCCAGTTATCCTAGAGAGCTTGTTCAAGGACGCCTTTCCCGGCACCGTCCCGGCTATCACCGCGAGATTGAGATGAACACGTCGCATGTCAAATGCATTGAAAAGTATACGAAATGTGACAGGTTCGTCTCCACCAGCGCTTGGAGCGATTCTGCAGCTTGTTCTTTTCGGCCAAGCCATGGAAGGGCTTCCTGGCAACTGCTCTGACTCAACATGAGTGTCGGACATGACCGTCACATCAAGTGGAGCGCCACTCTACTGCTTCTTTCACCACCTCCACTTATCCATTCCCATACATGTGTGTATGTATGTGTGTGTGTGTATGTGTGTGTGTGTGTGTGTGTTTGTGTGTGTGTGTGTGTGTGTGTGTGTGTGTGTGTGGTATTGCTATAAGATGAAATCTGTGGGTGCACATCCAGTGCATATTGCAGATTTGCGTGCGTGTCTTGCAACGGGCGTATACATGGTACATGGTGTATTTACTGTGTGTTCCTGTTGCTGCAGTGCGCGAAGGAGGTAGAGTCGTGTTCACAGCAAGAGGAGGTAAGCCTACAAGTGAACATGCCCCCACGATAATCACAGCAATAGCTTTCTTTCAAAAAATTACGACCCTTGCTCTGTGCGTGCGTGTGTGTGTGTGTGTGTGTGTGTGTGTGTGTGTGTGTGTGTGTGACTGTGTGTGACTGTGTGTGTGTGACTGTTATTGCTGTCTCTGCTGCTGTTGCTGCTGGTGTTGCTGTTGCTGCTAGTGTTGCTGCTGCTGTTGCCTTCTATTCCTGCTGCTGCAGCTGTTGCTGCTGTTGTTGCTGCTGCTGCTGTGGCTGCTACTGCTGCTCAGTACATTTCCAGAGTGTTCATGCATTAGTTCTCCCCTGTGATGGCTTTGCTTGCAGCTGAAGCTGGTAACAAATTGCAGGATGAACTCAACACTACATTCCCCCAGGGCAAGGCGCTGTTTGTGAAGTGTGACATGACCAATCAAGTGGATGTCCAGGTAACGCATGGGTCTGTGTGTCTCAGTCTGTGTGTGTGTGTGTGTGTGTGTGTGTGTGTGTGTGTGTGTGTGTGTGTGTGTGTGTGTGTGTGTGTGTGTGTGTGTGTGTGTGTATGTATGTGGTACCCTGCCCCCAGTGAAGGTAATCCCGGGACGGATACCCTGATGCCATCAATCCTTTTTCTGCACCTTGTCTTCGCCCACTTACTGAGGTGTGGTGAGCCCATAAGTGGGATCATTTTCAAGTCCACCCAGAGTTTTTGGGATTTCAGGGTGTGTCGGCCGTTGGGCGGTTCAATAGCCAATTGAGCCATTGTTCCAAGATTTCTTTTGAGTCTCTCTCCCCTCTCCCGGGGAGACCCACGTGACCAGTTTTGGCAGTGAGCAACAAGTAGTGTATGTGTGTGCGTATGTCCCTGTGTGTACATGTATGTATGTGTATGTCGTTCTGTCTGTCCATTTGTCTGTCTGTGTCGGGGTGTCAGTCTGAATCTTGTTCGTCTGGATTAAACAAAGAGGAATAGAGCCTGCGGAATTGTCTGCCTTCTACTTTGCATGATGCTGCTGGCTCCAATGCGTTTAGTCAGGCGGATGTCCAGAATACTTACGTCAGGGTGCGTAGCACCCTTGAAAACCCTTGAAAACCCTGAAAGTTTTTCTTCCCCCGGGAATTCCCTGAAATCCCCTCAAATTTTGTATTTTATTAGAAAATGTCCCTTGAATCCCCTGAAATTTGTTTTCCAGATCACGCGACCTGGTAGACTTCCGTACTCAGTGACTGACTGTAGATCTACATGATATGCATAAATCTACGAGTGCCAGTCCGGTCACCCGTGCTGGTCATGTGAGTCGACGGCCTCAGCGGCCAGCGCAGCTCACGTAGATCTTTACAGTATTTTTTACATTTGAGCCTTGATCGCCATGTACGCTCGACTATCGACTGCGGTACGACGGTTCCTGACTGTAGCGAAACTGGAATCCGCCACTGCAACTGCTTTTCTGTTTTATTTGTTTGTTCTGGCCTTCAACAAGACAAAGTGTCTTCAGTTTTTTTTCGGAATGCCGAAGACGTTTTACAGAGTTGTACTTGTTCTCCGTGAGTTCCCTTCGGGAACGGATACGATAATTTACTTACTTTACTTTACTTACTTGTTATCCATGCCGAAAGGCAAGTGTGTTTTCAACGATCGCTGGTTGTCTTTGGACCTGTACAAAGACTGACTAGTTCGCTTAGAACTTAGCGATGGAGAAGCTCGATCGTGACGGTGTCTCTACTACTTGTAGTATTTTGTTGATGATCAAATCTTCGATTATTGACATTCTGAATCAGTGAACCTCTGCTTGGCTACGGATATGTGGTGTCTAGCGACTGTATGACATCTGTGAATACCCTTGAAATGCCCCTGGAAATCCCCTGAAATGTTGTGTATATGTTGTGCTACGAACCCTGTTACGTCTTTGTGTCTGTAAATCAGAATCTTGTTCATCGGGATACGAAAAGGCAACACAGCCGGCCAGACTGCCTGCATCCTACTGTGTATGGCGGCAATGATTCCAATGTGTTTTGATCGTTACCCGCCCAGGCCTACGGTACAGCACTGCGTTGAGGCTACGGCCTCATTGTGCAAACGCACTTATGGCCCTTTCCCCCTCGAGATTGTCGCCAATTCCTCCTCTGTTTGGTCGGATCATGTTGTGCATTGTGAGTTAATATGTACGTTTTTTTTTTAATTGATATCCAGCTATGCCCTAGCTCCCCGCTCTTCTCGTACATGTGCATCGTCAGGTCCCCTTTCAATTTTTTCTTTCTCCTATCTATTGTCGCCATGGCTGACTATCACCCACATCACGCTGGCTATCACCCACTTCCTACAAGAGACAGAGAGAGAGAGAGAGAGAGAGAGAGAGAGAGAGAGAGAGAGAGAGAGAGAGAGGAAGCTGTGTTGCAGCTCCGAGTTTCACCTTTTCATTGGCTAGTGTCACGTAAAGAAATTAGGGACCTTTAGCACCCAGCGTACGGATACGAAACGAATGCTGATTCGTCACCTGGGTTCGAGGATTCGTCAGAGTCCCTGCGGAGAGCTCGTTTTCACGAATGGAAGCCTCTTCATTCGTGGCACGCTCCGAATCCGTCAGGTACACGTTTATTTGGCGAGGTACACATGTTTCGCCAGGTACACATTTTTCCCTTGATTTCATGATCCATGCACGTGTGCATGTAAACGCCCGTACGCCAAGCTGCCGGCCGTATTCGTAGTTGCCATGCACATTTGCAGACGACTTGCGAAACCTGAATCTGTTTTCAACGAAACGATTACGAGCCGAATCAAACTTTCGTTTCGCATTCGATTCGTAGCAAATGCGAAAGGTCCCTAGTGTTTGCTCCGAACGTCGGAGCTTGCGCTTCCTGCCGATTGACTTGACACTTGACTGACTCATCTTTCGTACTAGTGTCACGTTGTTGTGAATACATAAGTAAAATATATAAATGTCGTACTGGTGTGGTGGCTGTGTCTGCAGGCAATGGTGGAGAGGACGGTGGAGACGTTCGGCAGGCTGGATTGCCTCATCAACAATGCTGGCTGGCGTAAGTGTGTACACGTGTGTGTGTGTGTGTGTGTGTGTGTGTGTGTGTGTGTGTGTGTGTGTGTGCGTGTGTGTGTGTGTGTGTTTGCACTTTTAATTGGATTTCAGTGAGAGCAACCGTAGTTACAGTAGCTGGGGTGAAGTCCGACCCAACGTGCAAAGCTTGCCCCCCCCCCCCCCCCCCCCCCCCTGGAACAGTTCCAATTCCATCACTGTATTTGTACATGTGTACGTCTAGTCGTATTCAAACTGTGCATGCAGGGCATCAAGGGCCGTACAGTTCAGATCAGAAGTGTTTGTGCTGGAACGCGCTGTGCTTTATATGAGTGTTTTGTCTTACTGTAAAATCAGACATTTTCGGTGCCGACAATTTTTGCCGAAAATAAAACGCACCGAAATTTTTGGTACAACCGATACCGTATACATGTAGTACTAGTACACTTACCTGGAAAACTGGTTTTACCGAAAATTTCCCTTCACCGCACCGCCGATTTTGGAGAGTACCGAAAATATTACACCACCGAACATTTCTGCTTTTACAGTATTTGGAGTTTTTCGTGTTTCTACGTGTGCAATATACAGACCCGCCTCCGACTAAGATTGATGACATTAGCGTTGAGGATTTCCGCAGCCTGTTGGACTTCAATCTTGTCAGCTATTTCTTCACAATGAAAGTAGGTCATTGTTGGTGATGATGTTGGTGGTGCTGGTGGTGGCGGTGCTGCTGCTGCTGCTGTTTCTGTTGGTGCTGCTGCTGCTGCTGCTCGTGATGGCGGTGCTGTTGCTGCTTGTGGTGGTGGTGGTGCTGCTGCTGCTGGTGGTGGTGGTGGCGCTGCTACTGCTGCTGCTGCTGCTGCTGGTGGTGGTGGTGGTGGTGGTGGTGGTGGCGCTGCTGCTGGTGGTGGTGGTGGTGGTGCTGCTGCTGCTGGTGGTCTTCTTGTTCATTCTTGTCATGCTCTTGTTTATCCTCTTTGTCGTTATTTCTGCTTGCTTCTGCTTCTCCTGCTGCTGCTGCTGCACTAGTGGTAATGGTGTCACCGTATATTTTCATGTTCGTGCTTTGTGCGTTTGCGTTTGTCCTGCGTTGCTGCGTGCCGCGCGCGCTTGTGTGTGTCCAGTTCGCCCTGCCGCACCTGCGCAAGGTCAAGGGCAGCATCATCAACATGTCTAGCCTGACGGCCGTTATTGGTCAGAGTGACGCCGTGTCCTACGTTGCCACTAAGGTCAGTATTCAGTATAGCCACTGCGCGTTCAAATCGAATTTGAAAAAAAATGAAAAACGAAATTCACGGCTCACGTGATACTCGGCTGGAGGCCGAGTTTTCCGCATCCGCAGGAACGCCATCATCCTCAAGGATGACGGCGCATATGCAGCTCCCAAAGCGGTGGGAGGTGAGTAGATCACGCCCACCACCAAATTGGTCAAAGACCAAAAATCCCATTCGCTGCATCCACGGATGGATGGATGGAAGCATTGATTTGAAGAAAAAGCCGGTGATTGATTAAATTTTGTGAATGGACTGTAGCAGTCTTGGTTCGCTGCTGACCTGAACGCCTCAGCTATAAAGTGAGCCTTCGGATCCGAAAAAAAAAGAAGGTTATTTATCATACTTACTACACACACTTGAAAGGAATCAAAAGCGTTTCTGCAGTATTAAACTGAGTTTTAACCGATCATTAGACAGCAACTCCTTTGTCATACTTCAGTACTACAGTATGTAGTTTTTTTAAGTTTTTGCGGTGTTGAGAAAAGCGCATTTGAAAGTTCTGTTGAAGCCTCCCTCTCACACCTGTGTGTGTGTGTGTGCGCACGCGCGCGTGCGCACTCACATGGTCTCTCTCTCTCTATCTATCTCTCTCGTGTTGGTTTGCATAGGGTGCAATCACGTCCATGACCAAAGCCCTTGCCGTTGAGGAAGCAAGACATGGAGTCCGTGTCAATGTGTGAGTCATCAGTCCTCTCTCTGTATCTCACTGCCTGTGTGACTCTCTCTCTCTCTCGCTCTCTATCTCTCTCTCTATCTCGCTCCCTCTCTCTCTCACTCACTCTCACTCTCTCTCTCTCTCTCTCTCTCTCTCTCTCTCTCTCTCCGTAAATTTCCTTGCAGCATATTCTTCCCGAAACAAAACTTCACGACTGTTTTACTCACACGGAGTTAGTGTGCTGAAGAAATTTGGTTCAGCGCAACAAAAACACTTTACGACAATGAATCGATGATTAACTTCTTTGAAGTTAGGCATTTTATACCAAAGGAGGTTGTACCGTGTGAGTGTCGTTCAGAGTCACTGTCGCTCCATTCGTCAGAGAGAGAGAGAGACAGACAGACAGAGAGAGAGAGAGAGAGAGAGAGACAGAGAGAGAGAGAGAGCTCGGTTCCCCTGACCTGATGGTGCGGTGGAAGTCACGAAGTGTTGTATCCGGAGGCTGTGCTATTCTTGCCCTGCTCAGTATGTCTGCATGTCTGATGAGAAATGTTTGTCACCGGTGTAATGCTTTGAGTGCTAATCGTTTGGTTGTAATTCTATTTCTTTAGAAATGGATTGTGAGCAACACTTGCTCGCGCTCAGTCACTTCTTTTCACAAATTCATTTCGGAAAAACATACAGTGAAACCTGTGGCTAACTACCACCCCTTGGGGCCGGAGAAAGCGGTCTTTAGTGGCAGCTGGTCCTTTAACCCTTTCTGTGCTAATCCCTTTTACTACAGCAAACTGCCTTTCCAGCCCACTGACTCTCCTGGTGTCGTTTTCGCGCACAGGTCCGAACACATTTTTCTCTCAATTCAGTTCACCTTGATGGATTTTCGTCATCCTGGGCTTGTTGGAAAGATCAGGACCAAGCGAATCCATCCTGGTAGCTCTCATCTCAATATACATGGCGGTGCAACTTCTATGTCCACTCGAAACTACTCCACGATGCCTCGGAAAGGCACAGCAACTGAATCTCACATTCTATTTCGGTTTCTTGTTCCTGTTCAGCCGATTTTCACGATTCAAACTGCGCTGCAAAGCTGAGATCCACGTGCTTCTGCTGGTGTCCATTACGCATGCGCTGTGCCAAAGGGAAATCCCCTGGCGCGCAACAGAAAACTGCGAATGCATGAACAAAAAATTCACGATCGCTCAGTGCCGTGAATTCCGTGTGCACGCCGTCGCCGCTCCGTCAATCTTTTTCCTATCGCGAAGAACTTTATACTGCTGGAAAGCTGAGCTCAATACCTTTCCAACGGTGTATTGATTGTCGCGATAGACTTATTTTTGACGGAATTACGAAAGTTTGTACACTGATCCTTGCACTGCGATGTACTGCGCAAATCTCATGACGTCCATAGACGTCATTAGTCGTTTGGCGTACAGCGCGCATGACGGCTATAGACGTCATTAGCACGGAAAGGGTTAATAGTTGGACCTTTGCACCGCACAACCATAATAATATATGAATGTGAGACCATTCGTGCCTGGCGATGTTGTCTTTAGTACCAGGCTGATTGCTGGTCACGGTGGTCTTTAGTTACAGGTTTTTTTTATGTATTTCAACGTTTCGGTCATAAAATAGCCATGATCAGGAATGAAGTGGGCGTGGGCACCGCTGGGATGGATTCCGGATTCTAAATTTCTTTTTCTTTGTACGTGTGTATGTATTCTTCTGCCTCTGCTAGCGTGTCGCCAGGCAACATCTGGACTCCTCTGTGGGACAGCTTTGCCTCGGCGGGAACTGATGAGCAGCGCACGGCCAACATCAAGGCTGGCGAAGAGGCGCAGGTTGGTGGTGTCTTGCGAGTGGCTTTGTGTCTGCTGGGGCTTTCTGCTGCGGACATGTGCGTGCGTGTGTCCGTCTGTCCGTGTGTTCATCTGTGTCCGTGTGTTTCTGTATACATAGACTCCTACCTAAACTTATGTACAGTGATACCTGTCTAAGACGACCGCTCACGGGACCTTCAAAATGTGGTCTCGGTAACCAGGTGGTCTCCTTATCCGGGGTCATATGACTGGAAATGGCATCCGTTGGTCCTGGCTGCAGTGGTCTTCTGGGACGGGTGGTCACCTTAGGGCGCGTTCAGACTGGCGTGAATAGCCGCCGGAAAGCTACAGCGTAATCCCGGGAATCGCAATCACACTGCACGTGTATCCCGCTGGAATGGCCAGTACATGCCGTGAAGCTTCGACATTTGAAAAATTTGAGTTGACTCAGTTTGAGTTGGATATCAAAATAAACTAATTCAGTCTGTTGAGATTCCGGATCATTGTGCTTTTGCTTGTGCTTGTAGACGAAAAGAATACTATGTCCGGAGTGTTTGGTGCTTGGGTGGCATTCATCCGCTCCGCGATCAGAGTATGCTTCTCGTTCGCAGTAAGCGTTTTGCCTGCAGAGCGGCCCGCAAAAATCACCACGTATAGCTCCATGCACTCCCTCTCCATTGCTGAGTCGAACAAAGATTTCGGCATGATGGGAGAAGTTGGCAGTCTAGAAGTCAAAACTCAAAAGCATGCAGTCAGACTGAAAGAGTAGAGGCTGAAATAAAATGAAAAGACGGAACATGCGCTGCAAGGATATCAAAAGCGCTCCGCGTGCCGCCGGAATCTGCATTCCACCGGCCTGCAGAGTGGTGGGAAACCTTTTCCGTGTTTACGCTGGCGGGAACGTCACGTGAGCGATTCACCTTGACAACTTTTACATTCCGCTGGCTTTTTACGCCAGTCTGAACGCGCCCTTATCCGAGTGGTCGCCTTATCCGAGTGGTCGCCTTATCCGAGTGGTTGCCTTGACAAGTTTTACTGTACAGCTGCATTCTTACCACTTCACGTGCACCCCCCCCCCCCCCCCCCCCCCCCCTAAAAATTTGGACCTTGGTTCAGCATGCACGTAATGACCATGAATGTCATGCACCAGCCATCCTGCTCTTATGCGACCGTGCACCTCGCTGAAAGGGGGACCAGCTATGCCCCTGGCGTGCCAATCGTCTGTTCATCATCGTGTTGGTGTGCTTGATTGGTGTGTTGTGGTGTGTTGCTCTGCAGTTGCTGGGCCGCATGGGTTCGCTGGAGGAGAGCGGTGAGCTGTGCCTGTACCTGGCCGCCGAGGCCACGTTCACCACCGGCGTTGATCACCTGCTGTCCGGCGGAGCGGAGCTCAACTACGGCAAGAAGACAATGCTGCCAGCAGAGTGATGCACACATGCTGCTGCTGCTGCTGCCCGTCAATTCGAAGGAGGATTTGCTTTCGCAACGGATTCGTTGTGCTGTGTTTTGGTGTCGTTGTTTGTTCACCTCTTGTTGTAAGTTAGTGAACTGACTTTTTAGTGTTTTGTTATTGTTGCTGATCGCGAGTGTTTTTCAATTAGTTTTACCAAATTTAATGATTATTGCACGCTTTGAAAGACCCGCTAGTTGTGTAGTACTTGCCAGCCTATTCTCGTTTCTCTCTCTCTGTCTCTCTCTCTCTCACTCTCTCTCTCTCTCTCTCTCTCTCTCTCTCTCTCTCTCTCTCTCTCTCTCTCTCTCTCTCTCTCTCTTCCTTCCTTTTTGTTTTGCGATGGGAGTTTTGGACATTTAGTATTTTCGAATATTTGAATCTGAAGCTCTGGCCTATTTCAATTTCCAGATGTATATTCCGTTACCCCTGGTGACAATGCATTGCCAAATATGCTACCATTAAAATTAGTTTGGACATTTTCGCTGTCAAATTGAACCGGGTACCAGATGGGTCCTGTTTTTGTAATGTTTTTCTCTAATTTATTCCGATAAAGTATTTGGTTTTCCTTGCTCCATGCTGCGGAATTGCTTCCCTCTTTCACTCTGCACTAACCTCCCTGCTGTCTTTCCTCCTTGCCTCTGTTTTGAGGCCATTGCCTTTACGCCAGCCTTCCGATATTTTGGTTTGTTTTGTATTTTTTTGGCTTTTTGACTCCGTACCTACTCGTAGTCCAGTTTTCTAGGATATGCTCTGGTTTGAATTTCTTACAAAAGCTTACCTTTTTGGATTCGTCGTAGCTCAAAGTTTCAAGATATTACAATCACCAGAACACAGACTACTTACCTGTTGTATAATAGCTTAGAGTGTATGTTATTTCTCCCAGCCTTCACTCTCTTCTAATTATTATTTATTGGAATTAATTTTTTCTTTTTTTTTAATGTGAATCGAAGTGTCCAAATTAATTAACTACCGGTATGATGCCGGCATGGTCCATTGGCTCTTGGTGTGTGTGTGTGTGTGTGTGCGCGCGTGTGTGTGTGTGTGTGCGAGCGTGTGTGTATGTGGTGTGCATGCGTGGGTGTGTGAGTGTGTGTTTGGAAACCATCTAGAAAGATTACCAGGCCAAGCCGTCACCTTCATACCGCTAAATCAGTACATGTATCCCATTTCAATGTTTGCTGGACCGCCTGACATCCCACTGCTACTCATCAGCCTGCTATACCCCTGCTAGTACTAGTACTAGTAGTAGGGTACGGGTGTATCCAGCACTACTACATAATTATACAATGTCATGTTCTTAAAACGCAGCGAGTTCACATTCAGCCAACCAGTTACCTTGTCCTTATTCGCGAAGTGTCCTTATACCCGAAGTCTCATTTTAATGTATTACCTGTCCCTGCGGGAATTTGCGGAAAAAATCCTAGAAAACTTGCGCAAGAAATTGCGGCAGAAAACAACAAAAAATGCGGCGAAAAGTGCGGAACTTGCCAGGAACTCGCGGAATTATTGGCAGAAAATTGCGGATTTGGGCCAAATCACGAAATTTGTTGTATCCTTAGAATCGCTATTTGCGTACTGTGGAAATAACCTACGAGCAGGATCATGCCTTTCATGGAAAGCACTGTATACCGCGTGAAAAGTGCAGAAAAATGTCAAAAGAAGTGCAGAAAACAGCAAAAAACGCGGGAAATCGCGGATTTTTCAGAAAATCGCGGGTTTGGGCCAAAATCGCGAAATTTGTTGCGTCCGTGGAATCGCGATTTCCTGGAGGGACAGACAGTATTACCCCCGGGGTTATGGGGGTATTACCCCCGGGGTTATGTACTCTTGGTATTACACATGGCAACATTGTAGATGGGACTTTGCTCTGGGCATGGAAATTCTGTTGTTGTTCGCGAATTGTCGTTACAACGTTGCCCGCAGTCGTTCACTTTTCTGATGCCCCGGCCCGCCGAGCGTCGTTATTTTACTTATTATGCAAAGTTGAGTGTAATCAGTATGGCGACATTCAGCACAACATCATACAATCATGATGACTGTACAATGTAGTCTTGCTTTTAGCAGTCTGTGTGATCATGGTGATGAATGATGAATGTAAAAAAAAGAGAACAAATGGAGGGGGTTCCCCTGCTCGAGGCTGTACTGCGAGCGCGTGTCGTCCCTACCCAGGCACAACAAAAAGAGGGACGAGACTGTCGAGAGAGCTGAGGAAGCTTCGTGCACATACATGCGATCGATTGTATGCACCGGGCCGCGGGCCGTACTCGAGTTAGTGCGTGCAGGTGCAGGCGCCCGAGCCTTCATCTAGCTCTAGACTATCCTAGGGCCAGGGAGTAGGGTCGTAGATCTACGGCCGTAGTAACTCAAGTCCTATCCCTGCTGCTAGTACTACTGCTAGCATGCCAGCGCTTCATGCAGACGAACTATACTTCATGCAGACAAACTCAGTTTGTCTGCATGCAAAGACATACTCAGTACAGCCAGTGCATGCTCTGAATGAAATCCGATCCAGTCGAGTTTCTCAAGGACGCGCCGGGCGTTGCGCGGCCCTAAACCTGCGAACACTGGGCTGCGAAATAATGCCCGGCGCCAACTACTACTAGTATTAGTGAGTATTGCTTGACTCTCGCGACTGGATTTCATTGAGCAGCACTTGCACGGTACATCAGAGCTGCCTCGGACGACATGACCCAAACCGTGGTTGTCTAGTCTTTTTTGAAGTTTTTTCTCTCTCTAGCTCTGTAAGTTTCTATATGCATAGCAAGTGCACTGGCGTCGAGTTGAGGCTGCCGCAGCAGCTGGCTAGCTGCGATCTAAACAGGAGGTTGTTTGTTACATTCGTTGCAGCAATGTTCGTGCTACTGTTGTCTATCTTGTGATCTCTTTCACGCACTCAAGTATTAGTTAGCGAGCTAGTGTAGTATCAGTTCCTTCCATTCCCCCAGACTCACAGCCAAGAGCAGTAGAGGAGCAGAGCTGTGATTGCGCTGTTAGCGAAAAGTGCAGTAATGTAAGTACAGTAGCTATTTTATTGGAGTACCAAAGTGTAACAACGGCTCGTAGATTACTACTCCCTTGTTCTGCATTGTCCGACTTTGTCTACGCCTGTGAAAGCGCACCAGCTTGCAAACACTGGGTGAGCGGTTGCGAGTTGCAGTCTTGGCAGACAGCTCAGCACAGCGGAGCACCATGAGTTGGATGTTAGCCCAGGCCACGAGTGATTATGACTTGGCAAGGCGAATAAAGAGGACCATGGGCCGAACTTCTATCGATGCATCGGGTGTTGCCACTTCTCTATCGTGCATTACCCTCCCTTTCCCCTCGCGCAGAAGCGTGTTTGCTTTGCTGCCCGATTTCAGCTCGATTTGTCATAATGCGAACAACTCGGACTAAATCATTCCATCATTTTGACTCTGAAGTTTGATGGATAGTGACTGAGTGACAGAAGAACATAGCGAATAAATCATAATTACGGTTGGTGATAGAATGTGTTGATTCTCGTCCACGCGCACGTATTTCACTAGGAAAAAATTAATACAAAAAAAAACACGTTTGAACTTTGCAGACAGGTGACCTACGTCTATGGGAGTAATGAGAGATGAGTGAGCATTAATGATAATGTAGGGAGGAGAACGGATATAAGATGCGTACATTAGTTATGAGCGACTGCCCACCACTGTAACTACGGGTAGATAACAGACGACCAGAGCGTGGGACAACCAGACACCACACTGGCAAAGTACTGGGGCATTCGATGATCTAACACCTTGCTCCAACACAGCATAGCATCTTCCATGCGCACACCAACAGCCTTCCAACCAGACCTTTCCTAAAGAAAAGCGAACTGCATTTCGACTTTCACATGTAGGCACCTCGCTGGTTCTGCTATTATGTGAGTGCACTTGGAAAACAAGAAAGAAACTTCTTTTTCTCTGCTTCCACTGACCACTAACTTGGAAACATTCTCTCTAGGGGTGAAACGAGTTCAAAATCGAGGACTCCAGTACTCTTTGAAAAAACGAGCGAGTATTCGAGCGAGTACGAGTATTTTACACAGTCGTCGGTAATTTTTTTACTGACAACATAAACCATGCTCTGCACACATTCTTGCAACACCCAACGTACTACACCCGATGCATAAAGTCTTACCTGCAGCCTAGTGCAAGATATAGTCCAACATTATCTGTTGCTGGCAAGTAGGGACAAGCCACGATACTAACGTGAATTATATTGCCAGTCTGCATCTGTTCCACGGCAAATTTTGCCGGTGGAATGGATGAAGAAGGCTACCGGAGAGAACGCATTCTTCAACGATATAAACACTAACTCGTGGAAGCACTTCTAACAACTACATGTACAAAAATCACTGAACTTTCACAAGATTCAGATCCGGAGGTGCTACACTCCATTTCAAAACTATAGACGCGTACCTAGGCAAAAACCGTTATGCCAGCATCTATACCACATAAAATCTGTGATCACTTTGTGCATAAATTTTTCCAAATTGGGCGTCTGTTATTCAATCCTTTAGAAACTATATGAGAGTAATTGTGGAGCGATCCTGAGCAATATTCCGAAAACTATTCTCAAAAAGTTCCAGCCAAATTTGAAATATTTCAAAAACCCTACGCGTCTATAGTTTTGAAATGCACTGTAGGCTGCGGCGCCGCAGTAAGCGCACTTGCCTGGGCTGTAAGTACTGGTCAGGGTAACAGAAGTACTTCATGTACATGCGTACTGTAGTGCATAGTATGCTTCGAGTATTTTCAGCGAAACGAGTACTCGCTCATTTCAAATTTTCGAGCCCTCGATATACTCGTCTCACCCGTAATTCTCTACCTCTGCAGTCCCCGTGGGTACCACGCAGCAGTTGTGGCGGTGTGGTACACGGCAGCTTACTGGACACAGACGCGCATGCATCCATGCAAACACACTGGGTCGAAGTGGATTCGAAATTGTCAGCGTTGCCCTGGCAGTGCAGTGCAGTAGCACTGACTCTCAAGCCCTGTCTGTTGTTGTTGATTTTATCAGGGAATCGTAATTTTACGACTCCCTGGATTTTATTTTAATCCGCAGTGACCAAACGAGCAGAGGTGCTCAATAACGAGGGAGCGAATGAAGGTGCCAAGATGCACGAGGTGACTTAAAAGCAGAAGATATTAGATAATGAGGAAGGGGTGGGCGGAATCTGGTCCGGGCCGAGATGGACAATGAGAGCTCTGCTACCGAGGGGCAAACACCCTGTCTCTTTGATGTTGCTCCGATGTGTGCAGACTGATCGTGTTGGTGGCGGTACTCCGGGAACTCTGCTGCTGTGACCACCACTATCGCCATCATGTCGGGTGATGCCAACAGCTTAGTGAATCACCTCGGTGAGTAGTTGTGTTTGACAACAGATCTTCCCTCGATGGTAGACAACCCTAGGGTTTCAAATTATTTGTCATATAACGACTATTATCTAGTATCTACAGTAAAATCTGGTATAAGCGACCTCTGTGTTTAGCGACCACCTGCTCTTAACGGCCGTTTTTCCATGCACCGACAGTTCTGCACAGACACTGTGGGACCTGGTTCTAAAGGCCACCTGGCTTTTACGGCCGCTTTTGCTCGCATCGTGGGGTGGTGGTCGCTTAAATTAAACCAGGTTTTTACTGTGCTACCCGGACGTGAATGTACGCGTTTCAGGTGTCAGGCGATTTTTGATTGTTGTCTACTAATGAGGTTTGCCGTGCAACCGATGTCGTACTAGCGTCGGTAGATCTGCATCCACCATGTTTGCGGACCGTATTTTTTTTGCGGAGAGAAAAACCCCCGCACTGGAGTATAAGCCGCACCCAGATTTTTTTGTTGCCACGGAATCGCAGACATCTGCCCCTGTTACCACCGCTGATTTGAGCATGGTAGCACATGCACATGTACATGTATAAGCCGCACCGACTTTTTTGGGTGAAGTACTGGTGTTTTAAGTCCGGCTCATACTCCAGAAAATACGACACTGTAAAAGCAGAAATTTTCGCTGGTGTTTCATTTTGGGTAACTTCGGTGCCGAAATTTCACCGAAAATAAAACGCACCGAAAATGTCGGTACTGTACTGGTACACTTACCTGGAAAACTGGTTTACCGAAAATTTCCCTCCGCCGAACCGCCGAGTTTGGAGAATACCGAAAATATAACACCGCCGAGAATTTCTGCATTTACAGCACGCACTTTTCAGACACTTAAAGCGTCCGTGCTATCACATTTGCATAGACGTTTGTCGCACTCTCCGTTTCATTCGTTTGAGGCTGGGAGGTGTTTCGTTTTCAGTAGAAGGCGGAGCGGGCTGCGCAGTTAGCAGCAAGTACCCCGGCGTATCGCAAAGCGATGGCCGACGCTGAAATGCTTGGTTGTAGTGGCGGATAACGTGGATGAGCTCCGCAACGCGAATATTGAGTAGTGAAATGTGAAACGATGTGGGTGTCCCTTTCTTATCTAGTCTCAGCATCTTTTTTTTATTTTATTTATTTTATTTTTTTATTTTATGAAAGTGCACATGCCTACATAGAATGGAAGAGAACAACAACAACAACAACAACAACAACAACAACAACAACAACAACAACAACAACAACAACAACAACAACAACAACAACATCAAGAGAACATAGGGGACTACAAAGGGCGTGTAGGTGCTATTGAGCTGTGCCGGTGAGGTGAAGTGCGCTCCCCCGACCAATGGTCTTCCTGTAGAAAATGGCGAAATTCAAGTCATGTATCGGCGCCCCTCCAAAGTAAACACCGAGCACTTTGCCAAACTTCTCGGTGCCCCCCCCCCCCCCCACCCCACAATTTTTAGACAATCAACAAAAAAGGAATAAATTCCCAAGTTTATAATTATATAATGCAGGGCTGAAGAATTCAGTTACAAGGCAGTTTTTGTTCATTTACATTACATACATATGTATATGCTGGTATGATTTGATCCAGCCCAGTCAATGCGGTACGCGACACCTTGTGAAGAGTCGACAAATCCTCAGGGCCTGCCATCATCGTACCTACAGAAACAGCCGGAGCAGCAGCAGAAGCAGCAGCAGCCGCCATACCAACTAACTGTGGTAAGCACTTCAAAGCATGGTTTTGCATTTGTGTCTGCTTCTATCAAAGCAGCGTGCTGTCTATACTGGTTACCCCAGCAAGTGTAGGGTGTGTATGCATAGGTAACTGTCTTGGTCGTTTTATGCCGATGTACTCCGTATGGAGTAGACCAGGTGTGCATTGGTGGTCGATTCACATGGCTTTTCAGGTTGTGTGGATTGGTCAGTTATCTGGCGCTAGTCTTGATCTGTCTCATTCAGATCTTGTCCGCTGTTGTTGCTATAAGAAAAAATCTGTGGGTGCACATCCAGTGCATTTGCAGATCTGCTTGCTTCTCTTGTGACGTAATACATCTACTAAGAAGAAAACACGAAAGTTAGGTTGCCAGTTTCGAATAGATTGATAAACTTTAGTAAATGGCTGTGCCGAGACTCTGCCAATGCATCTCAGCTGCTGACGCACTTCTTTAAGTAATTGTGTGACCTCCATAGCTATACGCTTTGCTCTGCATTTTTGCTGCCAGGAGAGCGACAGAAGTGTTGACAGTGTCTCGGTGGGAGTGTCCACGCCGGTACGGGATACCCGAGGCCACGATGAACGTGAGTGCACCGGTCGCTATGAGAACTTGTATTCAGCGTACTTCAATGTTTCTTCACCTTGAGTTGCACGGGAGGAGAGGACGGGCGCGGGGGGGGGGGCTGAATTAGTGAGTTGGTCTCCCACACAAACTCTCTCTCTCTCTATCTCCCTCTCTCTCTCTCTCTCTCTCTCTCTCTCTCTCTCTCTCTCTCTCTCTCTCTCTCTCTCTCTCTCTCTCTCTCTCTTTCTCTCTCTCTCTCTCTCTCTCTCTCTCTCTTTCTCTCTCTCTCTCTCTCTCTCTCTCTCTCTCTCTCTCTCTCTCTCTCTCTCTCTCTCTCTCTCTCTCTCTCTCCTCTCTCTCTCTCTCTCTCTCTCTCCCTCCCCCCCCCTCTCTCTCTCTCTCTCTCTCTCTCTCTCTCTCTCTCTCTCTCTCTCTCTCTCTCTCTCTCTCTCTCTCTCTCTCTCTCTCTCTCTCTATCTATTGTTGAAGCTGGTTGCTGGAAGGCAATGTCTTTGAAGCACAAACGCCCTTTTGTTCGACCCTGTTTAAAAGATACCTTGTTTTTAACAATGATAGCAACTTCTTCCTGCGCATGCAGCCGCACTAAGTCCTTGGATGCACAAACAAATATGCCTCAGTCTCTCCAAATCCTTCTTGTTTTAATTAACAAGTCAAACTCTTTTCTGCCATGTGCTCTTTCTTCTCATCCCTCACGACAACCAACCCACCACACTCACCTCGCGTTCCTTGCGAGACTCACTTTAATGGGCATCCGTTTGATCGTGCAGATTGCTTGAAATAATTATTATGACTGTCTACATTTGCATGTTGCGTATCCAGCGGTTAGTCATCCGGCACGTTGGTTACCGTTTTTTCTGTGGTGTTAGCCACATTTTGAAACACCTAAAAAAAACCTCGAAGTTCGCCACTTCGGCTTAGGCTTCTCATGCTGGAGGTGAATCGACCAGCACTACAGCCCCTTATGCAGACAATGCATATAATTATGGTGTCATTCCACTACTTTTCATGCACATGTACTGGAATTCATCATTGCCTTGTACTAGCGCGAAGCCAGTGCGTGTTGTCAGCTCTGAGTGAAGGACAACCTGGGCATTTTTTGTAGAACGTCGTGCTTCCCCCTCTCCCCCGGATCCAGGGTCATGTGACTGAAGATAATTATCATCCCTCGGTCCTGGTTGTAGTGATCCTCTTGAACAGGCCTTATCAGAGCCGTCGCCCTGACTGGTTTTGCAGTACAGTGAGACCTGTGACTAACGACCATCCATCGGGGCCAGAGAAAGCGGTCTTTAGCGGCAGGTGGTCTTTAGTTAGAGGTGTGCACCGCACAACCATATATGAATGTGAGACCGTCCGTGCCTGGCGAAGTGGTCTGTAGTACCAGGCTGGTCGCTAGTCACGGTGGTCTTTAGTTACACGTTTCGCTGTGTATGAATGTGAGACCGTCCGTGCAAAGTGGCAAAGTGGTCTGTAGTAACAGGCTGGTCGCTAGTCACGGTGGTCTTTAGTTACAGATTTTACTGTATTCTTATTGTTTACACCTTTGTGTTCTCTAC